TTGGCTAGTTTTGAAGGTTTAGACTATTCTGGCTGTTTTAAGAGTTGCCTGGCTAATGTGCAGAGTGGCAGTAATAAACAGGAATCTCTTTATTATTGGTTTCCCCCCCATACTTAATGTTTTTCTGACAGTGGCAAAGCATTCTTGCGAAGCTGTGGGATCACACGGTTTTACAGTCTAAGCACTGCAATACTTCCAACATGATTGCTGGTTTATCTGTGTGCTTTTCTTGAAAGCATTAGTTTACAAATATATTAGGGAGGACTTTCTCAACACCCAAATGGCATTCTTGGGGCTTTTACTGTAGCATGTGGTCAACATACAGAGAGGTACCAAAAGAGGGAGCTGAAAACCCCTATGACCAATCTGCATCTGACTATTGTGGGACCTCATAACATCCACCGCACACCTATGAGCAGAGCATGATGAAACTCAGTGTGTCCTTGCAGCTAGCTCTGGACACATCTTAACATGTGATATGTAAGAGCTTGCCATTGCTAGCTCTAATATAACAGAAATACCAAAGAACCCTGTTTCCTATAGGAGTCTGGAAAAACTTACTGAAGGAAGGATTATCCATCAGGATGTAATAACATTCTCCCTTTTTACAATAAGAAAACTTATCAATATATTTTTGGAAGCAATCATTGTATTAAATTATTCTTGTTTCATAAAATAGGAGCAACAATGCTAATAAGAGAATAGCTCTGCACAGTTACATAAATCACTCAGGCAGCACGGAGATGATAGTTACAATTAGGACAGCAAGAAGATAAAGATTACCTATTCACATGCACTTGAAACTGGGTAACAACATACATTCGGTAACTAAAATTCTTCCGTAGTTCCAAATGGGAAATTTAGCCATAGAGGCAGCAAGTGATGGGTTCCTACTTTATACATGCATCTCTCAATGGTGATTTTTTTTTTTTTCTTTCTGATACATAAGCTTTAGGATATATGAGATTTATGCACTCATACCAAGAGCCTGTTCTCACAGAGTTCGGCTAAATGTTCTTGTTCTACCTTTGAACAGATGCTAATATTAACTTAATTTTTAATGTATTAACGTAAATTGTGTGCTTTATCTAAGGTGTTATAAATTTGCTCTCTATACGTGTTTAGTGCAGTATGAATGAGACACAGAAAGAAAAATCAATCATTGCTTCACAGAGAAATATGAACTCTGTTAGCTTCATTTTTCACACTGTGAAAATGACTTGACCTTCCTTTCCTCAGAAATCCAAATATCTCCGATCTGTATTCAACAGCATAGCTGGGCACAAATTTTCCATTAACATTTTCTGGATAGAAAACTGTGATTTTATTCTTGTTGTTTTTGTGGGTAAAAATAGGGTTTTCTTTGGATCAAATGGAGTATTTTCAACAGAAAAGGTTTCTGTGCTGTCTCGCAAGGGCTGCAGTTCAGTTATCTTAGCCTCTGTGGCTGTGGGCTGCTGGCCTCAATCTTTCTTGCCTGATGCATTATGGCCACAGTCCTGACGTTCCTCCGTCATGAACAGGGACAACAGTGTGTGTGGTGGCTGCTGCAGCCTTGCTGCTGAGCCCTGCCTTTGGAGCAGAGCCCTGACCAGGCCCTCACTATCACTTCTCCGTATCTTCCTCCTTGTCTTTTGTCTCTTTTTGCATATACAGGTGATGTGTGCAAAGCCTGCGAGTAATGAGTTTAGTGTGGGATGTATGTAGGTTTGAAACAGAGAGGTTGAGGCTGGGGTGCCTCTTCCCTGCTTCAAACTCTGTGCCCTGCTGTCTGATGCTGAACCTGAAGGAGCAGGTGGGAAGTCTGGCCATTTTGGCACAACCTCCACAACTCCCTGTGTTGTATGGTGCTTTCAGCCTTGTGATTCTTACCTATAGTCACTCAGACTTGACCACAGCAGCAGCTGCCCAAGGGGGCCAGGCATTTATGCCTTCTCCTCCTCTAACCTTGAACTGTCAAAGCCACCCACCAGGAGCATCCTGCGGGAAAGCCGGCTCTGGGCTTGTAGAGCAGGATGTGCAGGGGAAGGGCTGGTTGGTGCAGGGCACCTGATGGCAGCAGGACTCACAGCCTCATGGGCACAACCACAGCCAAAGTTGTGCTGAGCCTGTGCTCCCCTTTGCAGCAGACTGTGGGGCTGGGTGGCGGTGAGCTGGGCCAGGAAGCCTTGCTGACGGTATTACCCCTGTTAAGAGCTGCTGCAGGAGCTGGGAACCACAGCTGCGTTTTCCACTGTAACTGTAAAAGAGGTCATGCTGAGGGCAGTTGAACTTTCTATTCCTGTCAGTTTGGGTAAATGACCCCTTTGCTGTTTGAAGCGGGAGTGGGGCAGCCTCATGCTTACCCTTGGCCCCAGGCTGGCAGGCTGCAGTGGCTGCTTGCTGCACTCGGCTGGTGGCCATGCGCTATGGAAGGACATGCTGCCCTGGCACGCTCCCCACAGCCCTTTGCTCCCATCGTGAGCCTGGCCAGCTCCTGCTCCAGCCGGTGCATGCTGAGGTCGTGTGGGGCCAAGCATGGCTGCTGGCAGTGGAGCGTGCTGTGTCCCTCCTCTTACCAGCCCGCATGGCAGCAAGCAGAGGGGCCCTGGCTGGGTGTCTGCCCTGGTGTCGACACCCAGGCGTGTCCTTGGGTTGGAAACTTGACTGCCAAAAAGCTGGTTCATGCACACTTTCTGGTGCAGCTGAGGGAGTGGGGTGTTTGAGCTGCAGGTGCCAAACGTGACTTCTGAGGACTATCTCTACTATTGCCCTTCATGGCAACTGCAGGTTTGCTTGCTCATGCAGGGTCTCCTAGCCCTTATCTTTGCTAGAATGAGCTCTAAAAGCCTCTTTGGGCAGACTGGTGTGCAGCGTTTGCTAGTTTCTGAAGAATTTAAAGGGTTTACCTTAAGAAAGTGAAGGCATTAATAGCTGGGAAGTGGTTTCTCTTTCTGCTGGAGAAGAGGAACTGTACCCTGCAGGGGTGGCTGGCAGCCATCAGAACATGCACTGGGAAGAGGGGTAGTTGCAACTGCCAACCCCTGCAAGTCCCACTGCGGAATGCTTTTAGTAAGTCGTTTAGTTGAGTTTAATGGGTCGAGCTCAAGATACCAAAAATAGGTGAGTCATTGAATTTAAGTGATCAGGTGACAGACTAGGGTTTTATTAATAGTAATTAAAAAGAAAAAAACCAAACAAAAGAACAAAAAAAAAAAAAAAACCAAAAAAAAAACCAAACCAAACAACCACCAAACCAAAATCTCTGTACCTGTTTCTGGAGAAAAAATCTGAAAATGTGCCCCCACCTCCTATGTTTGTTCAAAGTACGGGCCACAAATGATGATTTTGAACAGGGCTTTTAAACCCAACAACAATGCTAAAATAAGAAACAGAAGAGGGGGTCTGATACTTGAGCAACATGTTTGAGTCTGTGAAGAGAGCAGAGGTGCTAGAAGGGAAATGCTGTGTGCACCTGCCTGCCACAGCGGGGATGGGAAGCAGCGCTCTGGGTTTTCTGGGTGTGAGCACAGATCGTCATCAGCACTGCCTGGCCTGAGCTCCCTCCCTGTGGGGGATCCACAGACACAAGATGCAAATGTCCCTCTTGCAGTGAAGCCCAGGCTAAGATGATGAGGTCTGCCACATTTGACTCCGCTGATAACAGTTCCACAGCTTTTCCTCTGCAATATTTTTTAACCCAGAAGCACTTATAAAACATTTGCGTACTCCTTAGGAAGGCAGAAATTGTGGATTACATTAGTTGCTCCACCACTGATCTAATTTATAATCTTAGATTTGTCTCTTAATTCTCAGGAAGCCCATAAAGATGCTTCTGTTAGAGGGTTCACTGCAGCCTCTGTGACAGAAGAGATGGGTGCTGTGACTGGCTGCGTGAACCTCCCAGTCTGGGCATGTTTCTAGAGATGGGACCTCACCAAAGCAGGGGTCCTTTCACACTTGATCAACATGGAGTCCCTGAGACCTGCTGGTACACAGGGAAGTCCAGGGTGCAACCAGTCCTATGGAAAACTGGAGTAATGAACTTAGCTTTGGTCTTGTCTCAGTGTATGTACTTGTTTGCTCAGCGGGTATATGTATTTGGAATGTTGTACTTATAAAATGGATATGGAAAATCATGATATGTTAGTGTTTAGAAGGCAGTTGGATACAAAGCACGTGGTCAGGGTGTGTGAACCTGGGTAGAAAATGATCTGATTTCGGGGATGGAGGACGCAGTGGGCCCCTTTCCCCTTTTGTATGTGTGTGAGGCAGCCTGTAACTGTGGTTGGCCTTCCCCTGGGCAGGTAGGTAGCAGGATGCTCTCTGCAGGAGCGTTCTGGGATGCCCTGTCCTGCTGATGCCCGCAGGTGAGCAGTGCCACTTCCCACCAGTCGCGAACACACGGGGCAGCAGGAAGGGCTCTGCCATCCCAGCGGGGAGCAGATGCTGCTCGCCGGCCCGGGGTGCTCGGGACGCCCCTTCTCGTTCACCCACCAGGCCGGGGATTTCCTGTGTCCCCTCTCGTCATCCTGCACCTCCCGGTAAAACTGACCCCGGGCGGGTCCGTGCTATACCCCTCGTATCAGCGGGAGCTCGGATCGTTCATTCACCGGAGTTCGCTTGGGCAATTATATTAGGGGTGCCTATTCTTGTATTAAGTGTTTTTCTCTTTCCTTTACCCCCGCTTCTTTCTCCCCTTCTCCGAGCGCAACCATGACGCTCTCGGATTATCCCTAGGCGAGAAGCCCCGCTGCCCACCCAATCCCTCCCCAAACTTCCAGGCGCACCGCGGCGTGGGACTGCGAGGCTCCGCCAGATCCCGCCGGTGCTGCGGCGGCGGCTCCATGCCGCGGCTTCGGGCCTCCCCGGCTCCTCCCCTCGCGGTGTGCGAGCGGGTGTGTGTGTGTGAGTGTGTGCGTGCGCCAGGGCCGCCGCCGCCGCCGCTCCCGCCGCTCCCAGCCGGGCAGCCAGCCGAGCCGCGCTGCTGGCGGCGGCGGCGGCGCTCCGCGAGCCCCGGGCGGCTCCGCGCGGCCCCGGCGGCCGCCGCTCCCCGCCGCTGCCCCTGCCCGTGCCCATGCCCATGCCGGCCGCGCTGCCCTAGCCGTGCTGGCTCGGCGCTCCTCGGCTCGGCGCGGGGCGGGGAGGGGGCACCACTTCTCTGAGTCTCCCCTCCACATCGTTATGGACCTATTCGACTTTTTCAGGGACTGGGACTTAGAGCAGCAGTGGTAGGTTGTTTTTTTTTTTTTCGGGTGTTTTTTGGGATTTTGTATTCTCCCCCCTCCTCCCCTTCCCCCGTCTCTCCACTCCTCTAACAGCTGCCGGTTTCCTCTCCTCCCTGCCCTTCTCGCTCCCCGGTGCCTTAGCCTTTGTTGAGGGGCGAAGCACCCGGTGCCCGCAGGGGCGCTGGTCCGCGCTGTGCCCGCGGCGAGCCGCGCCGGGGCCGCTGTACTCCGGCTACGCTCCGCAGCCGCGCTCCGGAGCCCCGGCCCCGGCCGGTGGGAGCACCTCGCGGTGCGTCGGCTGCGGGGCGAAGTTGAGCCGGCGGGGGAGCGCCGGGATATGCCGGGGTGCCGGCGGCAGCAGCCCCCTTCCCGGGCAGCGCAGTGCCGCGGAGCCGATGTTTTCCCCCGGAACGCGGCTTTGCTCACGTTGTGCTTACTGCTGTCAGTGACAATATTCCTTTCACGGGGGAAAACGCAACTGTAGTTTTGCCGTGTGGCACAGTTCAGCTGTAGCCCTGTTCAGTATTGTGTGTGTGTGGAGGCTGCTGGGGCTGGTTTTGCAGGTTTCCCCTTCTGGATGAAGCGTTATTGAAGTTAGTTTTGGAAGTGGGAAGATCAGTCCCCGTGATATTATAACAGGTTTCTCTTTCCTCCTCCCCGGTCTATTTCTTTTCTTTATTGCCCCCCCCCCCCCCCCCCTTTAAAAAAAAAAAAGTGGAATTTTAGTTTCTATTGCTCTTGCAGGTACGTGCACACCTTGAAAAGGTCGGTGCATCTGTTTTGTAAACTTGTCACCAAAGTGAATGTTAAGGAATTTTCTGTGGGTGACAAGTAGCTGGGAAAGTTAGAATTTAGGTAGGTATTTAGTTGCTTCCCCGGCTGGTTAATGAGGTCATGCTTATTCTGTGGCTGTTTTTACCAGTTCTTGCTTTACTTTTCAATTTAGCAAATACAATTCTTCAACTATGCACGGTGAAATTCAGCGGTTGGTTACTGCTTTGTTAAATGCTCTTAGGCTGGAGTGCAGTTTGCCACGAAAAAAAAGAGACTAAAATACTGTATTTTGTGATCCTAATCTCTAAATGTCACCCAGATTATATGTGTGTATGCATGAGCATTTGGACCTCATGTTTTGCAGAGGGTTTACTTTACTTTGTTGATAATACAAAGGTATGTCTAGGAAAAAGATAATATATTGAGTTAATAACTATTATTTTGCCAAACGCAGTTTAACAGCTATGGTTGGCAAATCCAAGATAATCAGAACCAAATACCTGTCACGTTCCATTTTACAGCAATTTGGAGTAAATCCTTGGAACCGTAAATTACACTGTATCAATATTAATCTGCAAGCAGGCGTTTTGGATCATGTGGGTGTTTTATCAGCTGTACATAAGCCATCATATTATATTTTTTAATAACCGTGCTGTTGTTATTTAAAAGTAATAATCACAATAAAATTAGTGCTCAATTAAATATTATGCTTCTACCCCACTATCTTTACTGTGCTGCACTAATTTATTTTGCAGACAACTGATAACCACCATATTACTACTCAAATAATATTTGCATATAATTTGCCTAATTTATAGCGTGGGCAACATCATTAATTTAATAGAAGCTGTTACAACCCAATATGTGGGTGTAGTTCGAATGCTAGGAACATAGGTATTGAGTTTTAATGTTTGCTTAATAGCTTACTTTCATTTGGCTGTGGTTTCATGTGGATTTAGAAATGTGCATCAGAAAGAAGGGAACTCTTGCGCGTCTGTTTTTCCATAAAATATGAACATATTGCCACTCATTCTAGAAATTCCATTTGCTTGCTTCCATAAGGTGAAATCTATTGGTTTTAGAGGTTTTTAAGGTCCGTGAGGAAAGAACATTTTTACTTTGACTGTTTCAAAGTGTTTGATATCTACACAAACTCTCTGTATGGCACAGGCATTCATAAATGATTACTCATTGCAGAGATCAAGTTGAATTTAGGTTTTAATAATCCAATTAATATGTGCAAGTACATATGTATATAATATGTAAGTATGTGATCTATGTGTATCCACAAACATTACATGTATCTTCTTGTACATGTAAAGATTTCTGTCTCTGACAAGTAGTCGTGTTGCTTACGGAGTTGAATTTAGTTCATCTGTCCATAAATATGTGCATGTGTATATATGTAATATGTTATGACATAATTTCTGTGTACCCAGAAATATGTGTGCTTACCCATGAAGGTTTATTGTTTTTTTGGCTGTTACTTCATAATATTTGTGTGGTTGCTTCATAATATTTACAAATAAGTATATATAACATGATGTGTGAATTGCTGCTTATTCTGAAACTGTCCTCCTCCCTTCTGTCTGTAGACTGTCCTTTGTAAAACATGTTTCACAAGCATTTATAAGGCAGTTACAGACCTTCTTCTGCATTCCTTGCAAACCCCAAACTTCTGCTAATCTGTGCTGCAGTCGCCAAGAAGGCAAGCTCAGGCCTACAGTGTGTGTGTGTGTGTGTCTGTGTTTCTATGTATTATCTGCATGCAGAGTACAGCAGACACATAGTCACCCTGTGAAATATACTAAAAAATACAACCTGAGGAGAGGTGGTTTTTTTAATCCCATGAAAAGGTGTAATGTATTCTCATTATATCACAGAATGACTGCCCAAAAGTTTGGGGCTGATGGGAAAAATACACTTATTTTCCACCCCCCCAAGTGGAGGTATGTCTTTGTGTCACTCCTTGAAATGTATTTTGTCAAGAACTGTCAGAGTTACAGCGTGCACTGCCGCTACATGTGTTCTTGAATTCTCACCTGGCGTGCCTGATGATTAGTGGGAGCTTTGTCTTGATACAAACTGCAGAATCAGCCATTTAGTTATCCATATTACAAGAGATCACAGTAGTATAAGCACGAGGTGTTTAATTGAACCTTCATCAAGAAAGTGGCTGGGAGGGTAGCCAGGGATTGGTGTGGGGTTTTTGGTTAACACTTGGGTAAAGTGTATAAAATAAGGCCTTGAATATCCCAGTGGATGCTTTGCTAGACTTCCAAGCTTGAAAAGCTGAAAAAAATACCAAAACCCCCAAACAATTTGAATAAATCCAAATGCTGGCTGAGGTGAAAGGGCCAGGGCTAAAGTCTGCTGTGATTCCTGGGTGAACAAGAAATGTTCACCTGGGCTTGCATTTAGTGTGAGCTATTCTGAGAGAGAAAGGAAGGGAGATGGATATAATGAAAAGCTTGAATGCCTGTGTGCACCAAGGGGACCACTTGCTGTTAAAAATCAAATTTCATCTTTTAAATCACTTTCCACGCTTGTCTGTGGTAACCAAGTAAATGAAATCTTCAGGTGTCCTGGGACCATGTGGCTAGATTTGAACCTGTTTACAGAGTAAGGTGGTGCCATTAATCAGCAGCTGGGAAGCAACAAAACCCAACAAAACCCCAAGCACCCCAGAATATAAAGCTCCTCAGTAACACAAACAAAGGTGGAGAGATTCGTGGTTTACATTTTGTTTATTGTCATTGGTATTAATATTTACGTGCTCAATCTTTAAAAAAAAGTAGAAGTCAAGAAAACTAAGTCCCTTAGTGAGGGAAACGCATGGTGAGGTATATAAAATAAAACCTGGTTGAAGGGAAATAAGCTCAGCAGGCAAGAGTATTGTCATGGCTGTGTGGTTGTGATGGGGAAGACTTCTAACTGCAGAGAAACAAATCTCTTGGGTTTTTTTTTTGTTGTGTTTTTTTTTTTTCTTTTTCGTATTATGTATCACAAGTAGCCTAATTACAGCCAAACCAACAAACTGCCAGTTATACAGGAAGAAGCTTAAACTCACTAAACTGTTATATAAATAGAAAGTTCAAAGGTCTGTTTGTGGCTGACAAAGCTGAGAACAGGCCATCTGTGGGCCAGGTTCCTCTCCTGTAAGAATGTAAAAACATGCAGCATGCGGTGGTAGCGTGTACTTTCAACGTAGTCCTCAACCTGGAGGGGGTGATCCTGCTCTCCAGACAAAGGTGGACTGTTTCAGTTCCAGCCTTGGATATTTCCTCCCCTTCATCCACCTTCCCCCTCCCCTCTTTGCCTTGTGCCTCTGCAGAAGACCTTCTCAGTTACTGTTTCTTCACCAGGGTCTGCAATAGCTCACTAAGTGAAAAGTCCTCTGGATGTGGAGAGTGTTGTGGAATGTGTGAAGCAGAGTAGATAGACTCTTGGGGGATTAGATTGATTTTTGTATTTTTATTTTTTTTATATTTTGGGATGATGGTGGGAGCATTAGTAAAGGAGGAAGGCACATTTTGAATGGATTTCTGTAAGGTTTTTCGCCCCCTCCCTTTCTTTTCCTTAAGGATATTACAGTTGAATTGCAGTTGCTTTATGGATTTGTATTACAGACATCCCTGAGTAATTATTTGAAAATGTTTCATTTTCAATTTGCTTTGAAAGTGTAAATGGATGGATTGTGTGGCTGCTGGTGGGTGGGTGAAGGGGATTAGAGGCTGTCAAAACAAGCAGCTGAGGAAGACCAAAAATAGTCTTGGGCCAAAACCTGTATTTGAAGTACATCCTGATTTAGTAATTCTTCCCTGGCTGGTATTGAACTCCATGGAGTGTAAATCTTAAAAGAATTTGGCCGTTTGCAAACATTAAGCTCATATCTATCCTATGAGGCAAAATTACTATCAGTTTAATAGCATTTGAATTGTTTTCCTAATGATTCATTCAAGAATTTAATTACTTCTAAAATATACAAATTGGGATAGGGAGTAGATTCTTCAGATACTGTTCAGCTGTCCTGAAGCCAGGCAGAACTTCAGAGCAGTTAAGCACTTTGTATATGAATGCCTATTGTATTGTTTGGGATTTTCTTTTTGAGTAAAAGATGGTGTTGTGATGCAGGTCCTTCAGTGAAGCAGAATTGCTCCTTTTGTTTGTCTGACAAGACAGTCATTGCAACCTGTAATTTAACTAAATAATTTAATGGGTAAATGTGA